CCAGTTATATTGAAATCGGATCAAAACTGTAGGAGGAGTAGCATTTTGAAAGAATTTCACAGAAATTTCTATTTTTAGTAACCATGGCCACACCGTTCATCAAAATCTAAAACTGATGCGCAGAATGATGTATCTTAGTTTAGTCTACTTGTGTGCCCAGTTATATTGAAATCGGACCACACTGTAGGAGGAGTAGCATTTTAAAAGCATTTCACAGATTTCTATTTTTAGTAACCATGGCAACACCTTTCATCAAAAACCGATACACAGAATTATGTGTCTTAGTTTATTCTACTTGTGTGCCCAGTTATATAGAAATCGGACCAAAACTGTAGGAGGAGTAGCATTTTGAAAGAATTTCACAGAAATTTTTATTTTTAGTAACCATGGCCACACTGTTCATCAAAATCTAAAACCAATACACAGAATTATGTATCTTAGTGTAGTCTACTTGTGTGCCCAGTTATATTGAAATCGGACCAAAACTGTAGGAGGAGCAGCATTTTGAAAAAATGATTACAGACAGACGGACGGACGCATTACTATCGCATAAGCTTTTCTGGTCTCTGACCAGTAGAGCTAAAAAAAAACTCAGAAGTCTCTGTCGAGACTGTAGCTCTACTGGTTTATGCTTAAAACAAAGGAAAAGTAGCAGTTGGGACTTGAGAGTTTAAATCAGCAATAAATAGAAAAACGATCCTTTCCATTCATCAAAACAAGAGGCCCATGGGCTCTATAGGTCACCTGAGCATTATGCAACAACTTTCCAGTGATTGAATTTGATTCATGTTTTAAGCCAGATGCTATGGCATTCACAATTTTGAAAGAAGCACCATTGATCATCATAATCATACACGTAGCAGTTGCTTAGTTTGGTTACTTAATACCCATAGGCAGGGTAGGGGAACAAAAAATGCAATTCAACTAATCAGTAACATTCAGCAATAATCAGTAGTGCCCATACCACACATGAACCCCTGACCCTTAGGCCTAGATCCACACATTGCACAATTTTAGAAAAGGCATCCTTGCTTTTCAAAAATATTTAAATAATACCAAGGAGCAGATTTCAAACAATTCATTCATTTTCATTATATAAGTACAGCCCCCCCCCCCGGGCACCCCTGACCCTTTGGCCCTGAAATTCACAATTCTGGAAGAATAGGGTCATTGCTTATAACTACATAGGCAGTTCATCTGCTTAATACTCAGAGGCAGAGAAGAAAATTGTCAAAGATTTAATGTGTTTTTACTATATAATCAATAGAGCCCTGCCCTGACACCAGAACTCCTGACCCTGGGGCCAAAAAATTCACAATTTTGGAAGAAGCATTCTTGCTCATCATAATTATGTACTTAGTTAGTTTACTTAATACCTAGGAGCAGAGAAGAAAATTTTCAAAGAATTCATTTATTTTCACTATATAATCAATAGAGCCCCGCCCTAACACCAGAACCCCTGACCCTGGGGCCATAAAATAAAAAAAAATTGGTGGAGGCGCTGTTGCTCATCATAACTATGTACTTCGTTAATTTATTTAATACCTAGGAGCAGGGAATAAGATTTCCAAAGAGTTTATGTATTTTCACTATATAATCAATAGAGCCCTGCCCTAACAACAGAAACCCTGACCCTGTGGCCAAAAAATCCACAATTTTGATAGAGACACTCTTGCTTATCATAACTATGCACTTAGTTTATTTAATATCTAGGAGCAGAAAAGAAGATTTCGCCCTAACACGAGAGCCCCTGACCCTTGGGCAAAAAAATTCACAATTGTAGAGGCACTCTTGCTCATCATAATTATGCACTTACTAAGTCTATATAATACCCAGGAGTAGAGAAGATTTACACGGAATCCCATTTCTTTTTTACTATATAATCAAAAGAGCCCTGCCTTAACACCAAAACCCCTGACCCTGAGGCCATAAAATTCACAATTATGGTAGAGGCACTCTTGCTCGTCATAACTATGCATTTAGTTAGTTTATTTAATACCTAGGAGAAGAGAAGAAGATTTTCACATAATTCATGAATTTTCACTATATTATCAATAAGAGCCCCGCCCTAACACCAGAACCCCTGACCCTGGGGCAAAATATATTACAATTTTGGTAGAGGCACTCTTGCTCATCACAACTATGCAAATAGTTGGTTTATTTAATACCCAGGAGCAGAGAAGAAGATTTTCAACGAATTCATTTATTTTCAATATATAATCAATAGAGCCCCATCTAACACCAGAACCCCTGACCCTGGGGCCATAAAATTCACAATTTTGGTAGAGACACTCTTGCTTATCATAACTATGTACTTAGTTGGTTTATTTTATACCCAGGAGGAGAGAAAAAGATTTTCAAAGAAATAATGCATTTTCACTATATACCTATTTAGCCCCGCCTTAGCACTAGAACCCCTGACCCCAGGGCCATGAATTTCACAATTTTGGTAGAAGACTCAATGCTGAATACAATCATGCAAACAGTTTGACTGATTGATGTCCAGGATTAAAGAAGAAGATTTTTAAAGATTGCATTAATTTTAGTTGTTTTGGCCCCACCCTTCAGGCCCGGGGGGGGGGGGGCAGGGATCATGAAATTCACAATTTTTATTCCCCCTTCACCCATTGATTCTTTGTGCCAAATTTGGTTGAGTGGTTGCAGAGAAAAAGCTGAAAATGTTCAAATGTTAACGCACGACGGCGGACGAAAACGGATGGCAATATACACAACACACGAACACTTTTAAAGAGGTTAAGCAAACCAGCGTGTACGTGTATTACCAGAAATGTGTATTACGTCATCAGTTTTGCTAATGACGAATTTCTACATGTACATTGCCAAGTACACGTAAGTCCAAACTAGTAGCCTATAATTCTATAACTGCTGTGCATTTTTCAAAAAGTGTGCATGTTTCCAATACCTGAATATTTAATGCAAACACTGATTAAAAGAACTGAACGTCACTAAGTAATTAAAAAATATTATTTATCTATATTAAATTAATAGGCAGTTAAAATCACAACATATAAATTTTCGAAACATGCTTTGATCCATTAACCAGAAGTCTCTGTCGAGACTGAAGCTCTACTGGTTTGTACTTATAGCAAAGGAAGACGAAAGTACTTAAGCAGTTGGGAATTGAAACTTTACACTAGCAAAAAAGAGAATAATGATCCTTGAATAAGTCTCTTTAAGTTCTTAGTGTAGTCTACTTGCATGCCACATTATATTATAATCAGACTAAAACTGTATTTGAAGTAGCATTTTGAGAGTAACAGAAATTGCTATCTTTATTAACCAAGGTAATAATGTTCATTGAAGTCAAAAACGGATATTAAGAATTATGTACCTTAGTGTAGTCTACTTGTGTGCCAAGTTATATTGAAATCATACAAAAACTATAGGAGGTGTAGCATTTTGAAAGAATTTCACAGAAATTTCTATTTTTAGTAACAATGCCAACACCATTCGTCGAAATAAAAAACCGCTACACAGAATTATGTATTTTAGTGTAGTCTACTTATATACCAAGTTATATTGAAATCAGACCAAAACTGTAGGAGGAGTAGCATTTCGAATGAATTTCACAGAAATTTCTATTTTTAGTAACAATACCAACACCATTCGTCGAAATCAAAAACCGATAAACGGAATTATGTATATTAGTGTAGTCTACTTATATACCAAGTTATATTGAAATCATACCAAAACTGTAGGAGGAGTAGCATTTTAAAACAATTTCACAGAAATTTCTATTTTAGTAACAACGCCTACACCGTTGTCGAAATAAAAAAAACTGATATACAGAATTATGTATCTTAGTGTAGTCTACTTGTGTGCCAAGTTATATTGAAATCGGACCAAAACTGTAGGAGTAGCATTTTGAAAGAATTTCACAGAAATTTCTATTTTTAGTAACACCGCCTACACCCTTTGTCAAAATCAAAAACCGATGCACAGAATTATATATCTTAAAGTAGTCTACTTGTGTGCCAAGTTATATTGAAATCATACCAAAACTGTAGGAGGAGTAGCTTTTTGAAAGAATTTCACAGAAATTTCTATTTTTAGTAACAATGCCAACACCGTTTGTCGAATTCAAAAACCGATAAACAGAATTATGTATCTTAATGTAGTCTATTTGTGTGCCAAGTTATATTGAAATCATACCAAAAATGTAGGAGTAGCATTTTGAAAGAATTTCACAGAAATTTCTATTTTTAGTAACAACGCCAACACCATTCGTCGAAATCAAAAACCGATAAACAGAATTATGTATCTTAGTGTAGTCTACTTGTGTGCCAAGTTATACTGAAATCAGATCAAAACTGTAGGAGGAGTAGCATTTTGAAAGAATTTCACAGAAATTTCTATTTTTAGTAACAACGCCAACACTGTTCGTCGAAATCAAAAACCGATACACAGAATTATGTATCTTAGTGTAGTCTACTTGTGTGCCAAGTTATATTGAAATCATACCAAAACTGTAGGAGGAGTAGCATTTTGAAAGAATTTCACAGAAATTTCTATTTTTAGTAACAACGCCAACACCGTTCGTCGAAATCAAAAACCGATACACAGAATTATGTATCTTAGTATAGTCTACTTGTGTGCCAAGTTATATTGAAATCAGATCAAAACTGTAGGAGGAGTAGCATTTTGAAAAATTGTTTACAGACAGACAGACGGACGGACGCCGGACGCATTACTATCGCATAAGCTCTTCTGGTCTCTGACCAGTATAGCTAAAAATATAAAAGCTCTGTACAATCTTTTTATCATAAGTACATGCATATATTTATGCAAAACGGTAAAATACATATTGAAAACGTTTTTTTCGGATGATTTTTAAATGTAAACCACTTAATATACGATTAAAACACTTGCAAGTACAAGTTATACTTTGCTAGACATGAAAAATAATTTCAACGTGTACATGTAATTCTAACTTGTAGTTTAAATGTACACGTACAAGTGAGCTTGCTATACCTCTCTCTTAATGCAGAATAACGTGTAAATTAAAAAAACAAAAATAACACGTGTAGAAACTAAATCAAGTCAGTATAAAAATTTACAACTTGTGTGCGATTTATCAAACTAGAAACATTGTAAGAATCAGAACAAAGCATGAGCAAAATCCCATAACGAAGACAGGAATGCAGGACATCGCCACGGACAACATAAACCAATCTGAAAAATGAGGGAAAAAAATAAAATAATCAACTGTTATTGTGAAGATGTACTAAAATGAGCTTCATACTTGTGACAAGAAGTATATTTCCTACCAACATAGCTTTGCAAATGTAATTTATCAAGGAGATTCAGCCGAATCATTTTGTGTATTATAACGCCAGCACCGAGAGATTTTAACCAAGGAAAGACAACTTGATGTGCTTTGATTTGAGGGGTCACTCACTGCTGAGGAATTTTTTTTGGCATCGCTATGAGAAGAAACGTTAATACTGTCGCCTAGGGAAAACAATTAGCGGACTGAACCAATATAAATGATATGTTCAGCTCAGTTTCTATTTCGTCAAGCCTCCATGAAAGATATACCTGTAAATATTTTTGTTTTTAATGAGTAACAGTTGGCAGCTCGGGTTACTGTTTCACACTAATGCCAGTGCTGTTTTGACCAGCACCGGTACCATTCAATGATTAAATCGTCAATTCTCACAATTTTCTCAGAAAAATTAAACAAGCCAAGTCTTTGTCTTTTCTTTCAGTATTAATTGGCAATTTAAATTTTATTTTAAAATTTTCCAGTCATAGGGGGACGAATTCACTTTCTAGTCAACATTTCCGATAGAAATTTTGGAAAAATTTATATTATTTTTAAATGACTTTTATCCAAAAACGCGGTTTATAATGTATATGTAATTTTGGGGTCTTTATTTTTTTTTTCTTTTTAAACTTGGAATCTGTCATCATTACAGCTCCAATATGACCGAAATGATAATGCATATGAAAAACACAATTTTTCTACATGTATATATATACATTCAGGTGTTTTTCCTATACTCTGACGTTTCAGGAGAAACTACAGACTAGTCCTGACAAAAAAAATTAGCAAACAGGTTAAGGAAATGAAAACTCGAAAGAAAACAACAGATATTTCTTAAATTGAAATATTAATCAAGAGAATTCAGAAGCAACACATACTTGGTGGTTCATATCCAGCATCTTTCCCCGGTTTCTTCACATTTACAAGTAATATTCCCGTAGTTTTATCTGCACTATCGTCACAGCAAAGTTTCACCATATAAGAGTTAATATCTTTGTAAGAAAAGGCGGGATTTGCAGTAGTCAAAATGGAAAAGATACCACGCGATGAACCAGCTGTCGAGTTCCCAGTTACGTTGAAATTCGTTGAACTTGGCAAGACGGTCTCTAGCAGACAACAAATTTCATCTCCTGAAGGATCTTCCACAATGGTGGAGTAAAGAACAGTTTCTCCACCCGTCTCCTCGGCTACAGACATAGAATTCGGTAAATCTAATATTTCTGGAGGCTGGAATAAGAAGATACAATGATACAAATGGATAAAACCAGTTTTATCTGGAAAACTATAGAAAAGAATCTTTCCCTATACTGTATGTTTCAATACCGCGTCAAACTCTCACTGGTCATCGGGTACCTTTTCCTTCCAAGTTTTCGTTAAAAGAAAGTTAATGTTTTGACGAGGAAAGACAACACAAAATGTTCTTATACATATATTTTAGGTTATATGTGGATATTGCTCAGTATGTTAAAACACATTTTTCTTAAATAATTCTATATTAGAATATAGTTAATCTATTGATGCACATATATATATTGTTTAGGCTGGGTCGACAATTTTTCAGCCATGTTCTGGCGGAGTTTATCTTTTGATGATCTGAACCGAGTTCAATTTTATTTGAAACAAAACTGTTCTACTAGTATATAATATATGTGTTTATCAACAAATTCAACTGAATCCTACTTCAGGAAGCTTATTCGAATAATTAATTTATCGAGAAAATATATTATTGTCTTTCAATGTATTACTTACACAGTTTTAATTTTGAATCAATCTCTGAAACGAAATACTTCAATGAAAAAATCGGAGAGTTTTACATAGTCTCATTATAATGTCATCGTTCGGAAAGTTACGGTGCCATTTATATTGCAGACAATGCAGAGGCCATTTAAAAAACACAGACTTGCCATGTTTTGTGACTCTATGGAGAGTGTCACTGTAGCGCTTGTATTACACGCATCCTTTGCTTCTACCAGGAACAGATAGTCCTTCCTAACAGTAGCCCTTTGCATCTTTTTGACGAGCGTTACTTGAGCTGAAAATATAAGAAAAACACACGTCTTAGTTGTTATCTTTCCAAGCTTTAAATTCTCACATTTTTCAGAAAGAAACCGGCAAGTGACGTGGTGGCGTCTCCCTTTGAGTGAAAATTTTGCAAAAGGGAAGTTATGCAACAGACATTGATGCCTATTCCTTCAGGCCACCTCATCCCAACTCTGTTTCTAGAGGACTGTGTTGGTCTTCTCAGACTAAATTGACTAGCATTACTTTCATTGAATAAAAATTTTATTATACCCCGCGCTGAAGAAGAGGGAGTTATACCGTTTTACCCATGTGTGTCTTTCTGTCTGTGTGTCTATCAGTAACAAATTTTGGGTTGTAGGTTTCTCAGGAACTACTTATCACAGAAGCCTGAAATTTCAACGCAGTCTTCTCTGAGGATGGTGGGGTTCATTTTTGTTTAATTCCGGTGTCAACTTCCTGTTTTACCGTGTGTCTGTCCGTCTTTTTACATAATTTTTTTCGTCGCATTTTATTAAGCCATTGCTCATCGCAGATGCTTGAAATTTAAAAAAAAATCTTTTCTAAGGCATGCCATATGATGTTGATTTTTGATCGAATCCAATGTCAACTTCTTGTCCATCCGTACGTCTGTCGTTTTATTTATAATTTTTGTCGCGGTTTTCTCATCAACTACTCATTTCAGATGCTTCAAATTATAGCACATTCTTTGGTGAGGCATGTCGTATAGTGGGATATATTTTTTATCAAATCTGATCTCAACTTCCTTTTTATCCATGTATCTATCAGTTTCATACATAACAAATCAAAATTTTCGTCGCAGTTTTCATATCAACTACTCATCGCAGATGCTTCAAATTTTAGTACACTTTTTGTTTAAGACAGGTCATATGATGGGATTCGTTTTTGTTTACTTCTAATGTCAACTTCTGTGTGTCTGTTCGTCACTGAACATGTGTATGTTAACATGATAGTGTATGTTCACATCAGAACGGGAGAATTACTAGTAAGCATAATTTGACAGACTTTTTTCTGTCAAAGTTGGTAGTGACCCTACATTCTTTTCAAGGAGCTTTGGCGCATTAAATTCCATTAAAATCAAGATGTTTTAATTAAAATGTAGAAGCTAAAGCCCTATTCTGGAAACAATGGCCCTATCAGCTAATACAATTTATGATTAAACCAAATGCTGACTGAATTTTTTCATACTTATTGGTAGGCCATTATATACAATTGAATTATCGACGGATTTTTCCGTTTTTTTCCCGATCGTGACAAGGAGAAAGCCATAGGTTTGACGGATCGGTAGGGGATTCTCATTCCTTCATGGTACCTGATCCCACCTGTAATGTTTTGTTTGCTCTGTTCAAATTTTGTGTTATTTAATAGACTTTTGAGCTTGAATGAACTAACATGAGATATGTGGAGATAACACTTTATAAGAAATACAAACAGTCACGGTAGTTTAGTCGGTAGGGCGCTCACTCTGTGATCGTGAACTACAATCTTGGCCGCGACTGACTCAAGTCTATAAAAAATGGATGACAACTGTTCCTTTGCCATACACTCAACACTTTGAAGTGGAAGTTGCGGGTCCTTCGGGCAAGACCTTAATAATTCAGGTCCCTTAAATTGTCACTGTAGGCTTTGGCATGATTAAGAACCCTGAATGGCCTCTGGTGTCGAGTAAAGGTCAATCTTTGAAGATCTTCAACGGTTAATGGTAACGTCTCTTGACAGTGTATGAGTGAAAAATACACGAATGGGACGTAAAACAACACACAGTCAATATTAGTAAAACAGCGGGACAATTTGTATTAACATATAAAATATGATGAATATTTAAGTCAAGTCAAAAGTCTGTGGGAATGTCAGGTTTTAAAAAATGACACCGATGTTAAATTCTCTTCTAATTTTTAAATGTATTATTGCTTAAGCTTACATCAAAATATATTTTGAATAGTTTCATTGAAACTGAGCTCAGCACAAATTTGAGGAAAGTAAGATGAAGGTCAAAGAAAGGATAGGGTAAAAATGTTGATGCAGTTGAAAAATTTCCTCAATTTGTATACACAAACAGATTTAACTAGAAACATCCTGTCAATGAAAAATTTCTTTTTTAACTTAAAAGCTCTTGAATAATTTCTTTAACTTAGTATCGCTGAAATATGTTTAACAATACTAATCAATCAACCTTTGACTTAGTTTTGGAAACAAAGCCAAATGATTCTTACCCCACATTAAAAAGGTCCATTCAGGATAAAGTACATTGCTAGGAAGTTACACCGATTTAAAAAAGTGGAACTATTAAAGAAACATACTTTTTCCCGGGTTTGGAATAACTAGTGCGTAAATTGTAAGCATTATACATCTACAGTCAATGGACAAAAGTATTCGTCATTTTAATTGGCGTTGCGTTAATCGCGATGCCTCTCTCGGCTATTTTTCACTCGCGCTATTTATAGAACAAACGAAATAGAATGAAACTTTCAATAAAGAGACTGGAGAAATTACGTCACGATTTTGTGACGTCATTTTGTCACTTGTATTTCTGTAAACAATGGAAAACATCACTCGAAAACATGGGGCGAAAATCAGTTGAGTTGAGCACTGAGGTAAAAGAAATGATCGTAAAATCTGCAAACCACACTCCAAATAAAGCAGAACTGGCGAGAATGTTTGGTATACCAAGGTCAACAATCGTGAGTATTTTGAATAAATTTGACAGACTGGGTACTGTAGAAAACTTGCCGAGATCTGGCCGTCGACTTTTGTTTACAACTCGGGACAAGACGAAGTTGAGTTGCCTCGCTAAAGCAAACAGAAGGGACACTTTGACAGATTTAACAAACAAACTGAACGAAGGAAGAGGAAGACAATTTAGTGAGAAAACAGTATTTAGAAAATTACGTGAAGAAGGGTACAAAAGGAAACGTGCAAGGAAGATTATGGTGGTTCGATGTGTGAACAGAAAAAAATGGGTAAAATGGTGTCAAGAACGAAAAAACTGGAAAAGTGATAATGAATGGAAAAAATATATATTTTCCGATGAAAGTCAGATTGTTATCGGGACAGATAACTGTGTGTATGTGTGGAGAAAGGACGCCGAAGCGAACAGTCCCCATTTGATTTGTCCGCCATCGAAAAGGAGGGTAACACTTATGATCTGGAGATGCATGTGTTTTGATGGTATGGGAACTATTGTACCTGTCAAAGGTAATATAAATGCACTGAAAAACTTGGAAATAGTTGATAATAATTTATGGCCTGTAATTGCCAGACATTTCCCGATCAAAGACTATGTTTTCCAAGACGATAATGCTCCCGTACATAGGGCTCTCGTAGTGAAAAACTATATGACCGAAAATAATATTAACTGCACAGATTGGCCAGCTCAGTCTCCAGATTTAAATGTGATTGAAAACATTTGGTTAAAGATCAAAAAAGAGCTTAAAGGCATGTCCGCAACTATTGAAAGTCGCGATCAGCTGTTTCAGGCAATCAGACAAGTGTGGGAAAACATCCCCTTGGAATACGTCCACAGCCTCTACGCATCCATTCCAGATCGGATTAAAGAAGTAATACGTATGAAAGGAAATCTGACAAAATATTAGGTAAGTGACTTTAATTTTAAGTATACAAATCTACGTTTAAAACTCCCGTTGTGAACGTAAACAACGCGACGCCATTTTGAAAATGACGAATACTTTTGTCCATTGACTGTACATGTAGCATTATTGTACCTATTTCATCCACCACGAAAAACTCGGCAGAGGAATTAGAGGAGGGGTGTTGCATGACGGTATATGTCACGTTTTCTGCGTAGTCCGCCCCTCCCACCTCTAGCACCATCACAAAGGAACCGGGAGGCAAGTGATCTGGGATTTCCGCCGATTGATTGGGGTTGTTAAAGGATATAATTGTGTCTGGAATAAAATGAAAAGAGGCATTTCAGGTGATATTTGAAAGAATTATTCTATTAAACTACATTTTTACCATACATGAATATTACATATACAAATATTTTTTCAAAACTAATCTGAAATGGAGTAAGGTATTTGCATTTTAAAATTGAAAATCAAAATGATACCCTTAGTAAAAGCCTTGGGTACATCCTTGACAAAATAAATAAATAACAATGATCTCGATAAAAAGAAATACTTGCATTTAATTAAACTACATGTATATGATATAAAATATTAAGATTAAAAATAGATGTAATCACATAAACGTATTTTCATAATACCTCAAAAATAAAAAGAAAAATTAACCACCTGAAATTTATTGATTTCACACTAATTCTAATGCACACTAAAACGAACGTAAATAATGTATATTTAAGGAATAAAGCTTATTACAACTTATATTATTCGATATAACATAACTTGGGGCAGTTTACGCTTTATAAACCGCGAAGCGGTTTGTAAAAAAAGCGTAAATTGTCCTAAGTTTTGTTATATCGTATAATATAAGTTGAAATAAGCTTCATTCCTTATAATTTAATTTCTGTGCAGACAATGAGACAATTTTCCCCCCAGAATAAGGCTTCACATTGATTAAGTTTTAAAAGTAACGTCAAGCGGAGTAATACGTTTTTGACGTAACTCATTGTGACGTAGGCAAGTTATGTTATTCAAAATGGATAAAATCTTTTGTCCAATCAAATGACGTGTTACAAGTAAAATTAAATTATTTGATATTACTTAAAACAGTTTTAAATCATACCAAAATTATGCAGCAATATTTCTTTCATTTGATCTACAGTAATACTTTTTGAATCCGGGCACAACTGGTTTCAAATAAATTGACCAGATACAATCAAGACGACATATCGGTTTAGACAGGTTAAAACAACTGAATTGACTAACATGAAATATGTGGAAATAACGTCCTAAACATTGTATCATAGATTTTCAAGTTACACAGCATCTAGATTAGACAAGTTTTATTCTTACTTAAAGTGATCTCGGATAGATTTAA